CTACCTCTTTGGAGTCGCGTATGGTGTCGGTGAGTTTTTATGATGATTTATAAAGGAGAACTGTGTCCCAAAAAAATATGTTTTTTATTTAGTGAAATTGTTGCGCTAAAAACAAGTAGTCACCTTTTGATTTCGCTTAAGTGCATCTCATGAATTACATGAAAATAGGTTAGAGGATAAATGAGCTCTACGTGCTATGCTAAGCCACGTCAAACCTATCGTTCTGCAAAGCTATTTTGACCCCCATTTTACAATGCAATATATAAATAAATATATATATATATGTGTGTGTGTGTGTGTGTCTATTTTGAGTGCTAATAGGTTTTTCGAAGTGGCATGGATTTTATCGGCACACTCACTCTTGCCATTAACTGGTTTACTCAATACTCAGTCCTTAACGACAATGTCAGTTTTTATCTTGACTCATTACAATGTAGATGTCTCCATTTTCTATAGGTAAGGCTGCTACTGATCGTATGTCAGCCGACATGGCTTTTGAGCTCCGCCGACACCAAGCAAATATTGCCGTGTTCTCGCTGTGGCCAGGTGCAGTGCAAACAGAGACCATTCAAGCGCTAATTGATTCGAATGCTGAAATTGGGTCTATCTTTGATGGTTAGTTTTACCCTATTGCTTTATTCTTTTCACAACCGTCCTACTAATTTGCTCTTTATAAATATCACTCAATTTTGAATAGATAGTTTCACCTTGATCGCTGCATCATGGGTTATAGGATCATTTTTCGATTGTGTTTATCTTGTAGCTACATTTTTCTGCTTTTTATACAACAAAGTCTTTTAAAGCTTTGTTTGAGAAAGATATCAACTTTATTATTCAGCCTCAACACTTTGAAGATCAATAGTTTTGCATTCACCATTTTAGCTACTCACACCGCTCAGACTATGTAATTATGGACTTGTGATATTTGCTTATGCTTGAGTAAATGGAATATTCAGGTGGCAATGAAAGAAAAATCAACACTTTTTACAAGTCTACCGACGCAACATGAAAAGGTAGACAAATTTGACTGTTAAGTAGTTTACTGTATATCATGCGGTGGTTGCGGACATAAATATATTGGCGAAACAGGAAGGAAAATTAACACACGGATAAAGGAACATCAGAGGCTTTGCAGGAAAATGGATACTGAAAGACCCGAAATAGCTGGACACATCGCACTAACTGGACATGATATCAATTGGAGAACAACAGAAAGGAAAGCTCCATACGGTGACAACACAAGGAAGCGGAAAATTAGGGAGGCCATTTACATCCTTGGGAGTACAAATCGAATGAACAGGAGATTGGAGGAAGGTATAGTTAA